AGAGTAACTACATTAATCTATTGGAGTTAGTGCCATATGCATTAGTACATTTCTCATTGTCATATGCATTTCAGTTATGCATTTCTCAATGTCATTTGTATTGCAGTTATGCAAAATGCCTTTGATGGCATTAGCCGTTGATGGCAATTGTGCTCACTTCATTGTCACTTTTAATTCCTCCATTATCCTTGTAATTTATGTAATTCCTAAGATTATCGTATACACTATTTATTACACCATAATCTTTCTATTCATTGCTAGAAAGACATCCCCAATTATAAATAATGGTGGTCTTCATTTGGTTTGAGACACACAAAACACAAGAGAAAACAAAGAGTGAAAGAGTTAGTCTAAAAGAAAATTCTTATTGGTTGAAGGGAGGTGTTCTTTTTTGTGGAGCTTTGGACTCAACTCTTGTTTAAAGTTGTTGATTTATACTTTGTGAAGGTTGTTGTATCCTGGAGGGGACAAGTCAAAAAGAACTATTGTTGAACCGGTGAAAATATTTGTTGCAGTGGGCTTGAATCTCCTTAAAGAGAGCGAGATATCCTTGCCTCAGCCTGAAGAGATTAATTTCTTCATTTTATTTTCAATTGTAATCTTGCAATTTTATTATCTTATAAGTTTTTTCACTAACAACGGCCAAGTACACTAGTAAGATCATAAAACTCAAGTCTATCTGACTACCCGTAAATCACAATAGAAGTTATTGTTACAAAGACAAATTTAGACGAAGGTATCTGAAATTATCATTATTCTTTTTATCAAATAAGTCATCCATTGTTTTTTTCTCTTTTTTTTTCCCTATGTTCATTAAAATATCTGTAAGAATCTCTATGTGGTGGACATGTAACAAGAGACTTACCTTGTAATTAACTAGCGAATAATAAAGTTTGATTGTTCTTTTGGCTGATAGAGACAATTCTAAGGTGTTTATTCATCTCTCTTTTCTTTTTCTTCCATTCTTTTTGGGGAATCTATATATTACGTAAAATTTGAGAAGTTTGAATTATGATATATATCCTGCAGCAAATGGAATAATGGTATCAAATATATTTTTCTAAAAACGGATGGACTCAATAGGTAAGTATTAAAACTAAATGAAAAATAATGTTCACAAAATAAAGATCTCATTCGTTTTCTTTAAATAATTTAGGTATAATAGATAAATGTGTCATTTAACTTGACTTTACCTTGCATTCATGTCCTTTAACTTTGGGGAATATATAAGTAGATATTTAAATTTGTATTAAGATGAACAAATAGACATATGTGCCCTATGTGACACCCTACTTGGCCGATGTGCATTCTATGTAGCGTCGTATGCGTATTATACGACGTAGGACGTGTGTATCCACTTATTTAATTTTATACAAATTTATATATTTACTTATGCATATAAAAAATTAAGTCGTATAAATACTGGGCGAGTAATCAAATTAGTTATGGCATCGACAATCAAGGTATCTAATCTTGTTCTCTTCTAAAATCTAAAAATTGTTGGTCTTACGTATAAATAAAAGCACAAATCTCTTAGTCATTCACTCAAGTTGACACTTTATGTGGTCCATGTCAAAATGATATATTCGAAAAGTTTCATCTAGGGTCCTTAATACAGTTATAGTTATAGATGGAATGGAGAACCTAGAGATGATGATCAATTTGTCTTTAAAGATTCTTCTACTATAAAAATTTATATTAATGTGCATCTCACCATTTATTCCTTCCAATAATTTCATTCTTCAATTGACCTCTGGCCTTTTTCATTATTTTGAAGAAAACAAAATATGATTGTTTTATTCACTACTTAATAATATTGAAGAAATATTGACCATCGAAACAAGAATTAGGTTATTGTTGAATTAGCAGAAATAAAAACGTAAAAATTGAAATAGAAATTTATCGTGAAAAACATCCTTGCTCAAGGGAAGAAAATCACGACTACAGTCTACAACTCATTTCACCAAACTTCACTAACCTCAAATAGCAACTTTAGATTACAACTCGACAGTAAAAAGGACTAACTCTAATATCTCACCTTTACTTAAATGAATTGTTCAACGATTAACTGCGATCGAATACTCTTCTCTCCAAGAAGCCAAATTCATTTTTTTTTGTTTACAAAGCCTCACAAACTCAATATCACACTTAAAACAATGATCACTAAACAAAGACTCAAATTAATATTATTTTTTTCCTTTTGACTATTTATAATTTAGTAATTTTTTATGATGAAACAGTGTCACAGCTAGAAACACCTTATATTAATAGGGATGGGCATTTAATATTCTGTCTGAGATTTTCAAATTTTGAATTCAAAAATTAGATTAGTAGTTAAAAATAGATATTTTATATACATCTCTACTTGTGTAGTATTGAAAGAAGAATATGTATCCTACGCCAAACAAGAAAAATATGTATGATGAGACATTTTATCTCTTTGATTATGCAAAGATTGCTCTAAAAGTGAGAGAATAAGGACAATTTGTATAGTCCTTCAATTCCAGTCAAATTAAGAACTTTGTTTGAGCATTCTCATCCTTCCTTTTATTGGAAAAGCATATGAATTATAATTAAACAATTACTATGTCAAATCTGTCCTTAATTTAAACAAGAATTACACTTTTTAACTTTTAAGTCAACTTTTGCATATGCCTCTTTAAAATAATGAAATCATTATTTTAAGATTTTAACATGGTATTTGAGTTGGAAAACAGTAAATTTATTTAATATTCGACTTTAAGTAACCCCAAATGGACAATAATATATTATATAATACTAAAGAATAGCATTTTGTAATTAAAGAACAACTTTTATTGAATTCTTTTTGTCCCATAAGAGTTATAGTGCCGCTCTGCTGAGTGAGGCAACGCACCCATAAAGTAAACCAACTTTCTAGGGCCAAGAAAAAGAGAGAAAAAGAAATATAAGAGAGAAGAATTTTTTTTAGAGGTAAAATTCTGATTTTTTTTTTGTGTGTGTGTGTGTTTGGGATCAAATTAACAAGGCTTCTTTCATAAGCTAATAATGGTAAAATTTTGAAAACTAACAAATTAGACAACAAAGAAGTAGGCTAAAGATGCATGATATTTTGATACAATTTGATTCACTTAAAAATGTAGGTAATATGATTAAATCAACTAATCTAGGTATAAAAAAATTAACCTAAAAGAAATTTAAAAATTGATTAAGAAATAATTTCTTAATAAACAAGACTTTTTAATGCCTATATTATATATGCTAAAGTGTTATGGTATGAGAAAAAATATATGTATTTTATGATATTTCTTTTTGAAAAGACTAAATTAAAAGTAAATTGAGACAAAGTAATTGTTTTGTGTCATATGACATATTAGGGAGGTAAATAGTTTTAAAAAATTATGTTTGAGGGGTATTTAAGATTTCGCATAATTTATGTGTAAATCTTCCAAATAATATGTGTTGAGGTGGTAATTAAGTTTTCTCATGAGAGTATTTAGGTGATTTTTAACTATTTTACTTACTTATCAAATATTTTTTAATTTTACTTATCAATTTTTGACAAATTTCGGTTTATATCTTTCAATTATATTTTAAATTTATTAACATTGAGTTAATTAAATTTTTAAAAAATAGTAATATATAAATATGTTTAAGCTCTGTATATTAATTAAAAAGTATAAAATAGTAAATTCATTTATACCAATCAAAAAGAAAAATATAAAACTAAATAGTGAAATTCTATTTAAAAAATATAAATATATGACGTAGATGTTTACAAATTGGTTAGTCCGTAAATTGGATACAATACCAAGGAACTTTTATGGTGGTTTGACCCCACTCCTCATATTTTTTTTACTTATTTTCAACTCATTGTGTCGTCATTCTTCTTAATTAAATTACACTTGTCCCACTAACCTTCACTTTAACTTACACTTTATCCTCTGCATGCCCTTTAGATGTCGCCATATTATTTTCAGGCGGTTACTTCATTCATTTTTATCTATTCTATATATATATATAACACAAATCTTCAAACTATTTTCTGAAAAAGTCCCTCTTCTCTATCACCATGAATAAACTTGTAGTTTCTTCTCTTCTCTTTTTCTTCTTTCTTCTTCCCGCTTTAGTTTCTTCAGAATGTACTTGCGATGAAGATGCCGATGATCGGGATAAAATCGAAGCGTTGAAGTATAAATTGGTAGCCGTCGCTTCCATTTTAATTGCCGGTGCTATAGGCGTATCAATTCCCATTCTCGGTAAGGTAATTCCAGCTTTTCGCCCTGAAAATAATGTGTTTTTTCTAATTAAGGCTTTTGCCGCCGGAGTGATTTTGGGTACCGGATTTGTTCATATACTACCGGATGCATTCGAGAGTTTGTCTAGCCCTTGTCTTCCGGAAAAACCATGGGGAGATTTTCCATTTGCTGGATTTATAGCTATGATTTCCTCCATCGGAACGATGATGGTGGATTTATTAGCGACGAGTTTTTATAAGAATTCGAATCTTACGAAACAAAAGCCTGTGAATAGTGATGAAGAAAAAGAGGTACATGTGCATACCCATTCAACTCATGGACATGCTCATGGCTCTGTTATGTTGACGTCATCGGAGGGTAACGATGAATTGGATTTATCTCGTCGGAGAGTTATCTCACAGGTATGAATAATTCACATTAATTTCAATAACTTGAAATGGAAAAATATCATTTACTGTTTTCTGGACTACTTCATTTACTTGTTGGGCATACCCTTCTTTTCAGTTTTTTGTTTTTTTGTGACTCATCAGTTATTGTGAAGAGTCAATTTCAATTTTGTTTAAATTAAAACTAAATGTAGATAAAAGTTTTGCCAATGAAGTGAAGTATTATTTTTGTTTAATTTTGAGATACAAAACAATGTTTGATCCAAAATGATTTAAGGCAGTTTGGGATATGTGAATCTACTTTTTGGACTTCTAAAATTATTGTTGGAACTGTATGCTCCAAAATAGTTAAAATACTAATATTAGAATTTATCCATATTTAAGGGACTAAAACTGCAAATTTCCCCAAGTGTTATTGAAAGTGGAGATAGAATTTACAAGTTATCTCAAAGGAATATGTAATTCAAGTTGCAAAAGGTGGATTCTCATCATTAATAATCATAAAATTACTTAATTTTTGCATTTGAAACTGAAATTTAGTTGTTTATTGATGTGACAGGTATTGGAATTGGGAATTTTGGTGCATTCAGTAATAATTGGTGTATCTTTGGGTGCCTCAGAATCTCCCAAAACAATTAAGCCTCTTGTAGCTGCATTAACTTTTCATCAGCTCTTTGAAGGCATGGGTTTAGGTGGCTGCATTGCTGAGGTATATAATCTGTAAATAATAATAATAGTCTGTTTGGTTAAATTTTTGAAAAAGTTAAAAAAACTTTTATCAAAAAAATATTATTTCCCTAACTTTTACTATTGTATAAACAGGCGAAATTTAAGATTAAAAAAGCAGCATTGATGGCAATTTTCTTCTCCCTAACAACACCAATTGGAATTGCAATTGGTTTTGGAATATCAACAGTGTATAGTGAAACGAGTCCAACTGCACTCATGGTAGAAGGAATTTTCAACTCTGCTGCTGCTGGGATTTTGATTTACATGGCTTTAGTGGATTTACTTGCAGCAGATTTTATGAGCAGTAGAATGCAAGATAGTCCTAAACTTTTAATGGGAGCTAATATATTTCTTCTTTTTGGGGCGGGTTGTATGTCACTTTTAGCTAAATGGGCTTAGAATAAGTATAGTAAGCAATAATTTCGATCATTTTTGTAATCTTGATTGATTAATTAATACCCATAACTAAATATGGGACAAAATTAATCTAAATCTTAGAAGGTTCTTTATTTTTAGCTTTTGCTTTAAAGAAAAAAGAATGTTGGAATTAGATGAAATTTAGCAAGATGTGCATATGTCTCATTTGTGACACTTTTCATTTTTCGACAGTCAAATAATTCAATTTTGATCGAATATTTGCGTAAGAAATTTTTAAATTTTTTGAAATGAAATATATATATTTGTAAATTACATAAAAAATATTATTTATCACAATAATTGATAATTTAAAATGTTAAAAGCAATTTATGAAAAACTTACGATTAAAGATAAACTTGTTTGAATCTCGAAATGTGGAAAGTATCACTTAAAATGGAACGGAACGAAGGGAGGGGTAATTTTTTGTAACTGCTCTGAGGGTGGATTTGCAAATGTAGAAGACATATACATACCGGGACAACTCTCCGACGAGATAAACTGAATTCCTCATAATTCTCCTCCTGTCGACGACAACAGCGTGAAACATGGCCGTCCTATTTTTTCTTCATCACTATATATAAGTTTTTTCCGGAAGCAAGATCTCAAATGCATCGGCAGTATGTGAACATATCTCATAGCCAAAACTAGCCCAGCTGCAAAAGCCTTAATTAGAAAATCACATTATATTCAGCTGTAATTATATTATTGAGAATTGGAATCGATATGCCCATAGTGCTGTTCACAACAAATTTTCTTAAGCATCGAAAATCAACAACAAGTAAAATAAATAAAAGAAAAATGTGATTTTATTAATGAAATGATGTGAGTATAATTTCATTGTTCTCTTGATTCGTGATTTAAGGGCCTTCAGTAGCGCGCTTCTCGAATTATTGGATGATGTAGAGCTCCTTAAGATGTTATCGATCTCCAGGACGTCAAAAAACAATTTGTCGTTTCAAGTCGATCTCCAAAAAAAACTCTGTTGATCACTCCTTCAAAGAGTTATGTAGTTGATGGCGTGGCGTAGCTTTCTCGAATTGCAGAATGCTTGTTGAAGAATTTTTCTTGATGCCCCTTAGAATGTCATGTATATCCCCTATTTATAGTTGTAGGGGGTGATGCTTGTGATTGGCCAAAGATGTCATTTTGACACTTTGCATATTGTGATTGATTCTTGCATTTGACTAGGACTACCACCTCATTTGGACACGTGACATCACCTTATTGGTCTTGGATGTCTAGTCACCGTGACACGTGGCATGGGTTTGGGCTTCAAGGCAAAATGGACTTTGATTTGAATTTAATAAGATAGAATTTGTAAAGCCCAAATTAATCATCCAGCCCAAATGAATAGGGATTTAATTCAAATTTTGTATGAAGTTGATCCCATACAATTTATGTGTCTACAAATGCCCCTTATTTCGAGACTTGCCGACGTGTAGGCTTGCTGAAGTGTGGCGACAATACTTGAAGTACTAATGAATGCGTTTTTATTTTTTGAGACATGTCAACATGTAGGCTTGTCGAATTTGACGACGAGAGTTGAAGTCTTCAAAAATGTGATTTTCCCCCTTTTTTGAGACTTGTCAATGTGTAGGCTTCTCGAATTTAACGACTAGAGTTGAAATCTTCGTGAATGCATTATTGAGACTTCAAGAGTATTTGTTTTTTATCGTCGTATTCTAACTAGGCCACTATAAATGATTTGTTTGTAGTGATTCAATTTTTTTTAACGTTCTTGCTCGACCACCATGTGGATCCTCTATATTAATGTAACGACCCGCTAGGTCATTTTGAGAACTACGACTAGTTCGATTCCTTTTGAAAATTCAAGAGGTATTTTAAACTATTTGATAACTAGGAGTACTTAGTTGATACATATATCTATATTATAAATTAGTATACTTGAATAGTACTAATGCATATTTTATTAAATTCAAAGTGACATAGGTTGATTGGGATAATGATGACCAATGATTACTTAATCATTGGAACATTGAATTTCTCATGCATTTATATGCATAATTCTTAAAAATAAAATGAAATAGGATACTTGGCAGTATCCATTTGAAGAAAAGGAAAAAAAAACGTGTTCTTGGCATTACTGTGTTTCTTGATTTTCTTAATTAATTCTTAATTTTATTTTTTTTATTAAATTATGATACTAGTTTTTGATATATTGAGATAGATAATTAATTATTAGGTATATATTATATGATTTAACATTAAATGTTAGGATATTTGGAGAGGCTAAAGATAAGTTCTTGGCTTGAAATTTAGCAAGTACGATAATTTTGGCATACAAATTATATCAAGATTTGATGCTTGATTAGAAGTATGAGTGAAAATTTTTGGGTCTATGATATGCACATAATAATATGAATGTCTACAAACTCGCTTATTTATGAATATTGCATCATTGGTAGATCGTGAACATTACGAAACTTTGCAAAAAGGGAAGGAACTATCTTGAAGATTCGTGACACGAATTCGGCACTTGAGGTATGTTGAGACATTTAGACTTGTTGAAGGACGTTTTCCTAATTAAAGATT